GCTCCCCTTGCCCTTGGCTCCCCCCTCGCCCCCGGGAGGCGGCGGAGCCGGGCCGGTGCGGGGGGCTGCTCCAGCCCTGGGAGCCCCCCCCGGGGCCGCAGCACCCCTGGGCGGCTCCCTGGGGCCCGCTCCTTCGGGGCCCATCCTTGCCAGGTGCTGAGCAGGGAGCTGCGCGCCCGCGGGAGAGGCCGGGCTGGGAAAGCCGCTGCCCTCGAGCAGGGGCCAGGCTGGCCCCTGGGTGCAGACCTGGGAAATCATTTCTTTTGATAAGCCCACCTTTCTGCAAGAAGAGCCCAAACCGCTTCCCAGGCCCTCCCCCGGGGGTCCCCAACCCCTCGGCGGGTGTTGGTGCGCAGGAGCGCTCCCAGGCGCTGGCGCGGCCTGGCCCGGGACCCCCCGCGCAAGGAGACCGGCCCACTCCAGAGATCCAGGGCTGATCTATTTTTTTAAATTATTATTAGACCAAGTCTTGCCTCCCCGGGGAATTTTGCCTGGAACAAAGACTTATTAAACCTACAGCCAAGAGCCGTGCCAGGATTTCCGAGAGGCAGAATTGATGCGGTTGGGTTTTTTCTTTTTTTAAAGGGCTGCATAACTTCAGCAGAGAGAAAGCTTCATTATGGCCGGCTGAGACCAGATCCCCTACCTCGGGGCCGGCAAAGGTGGGCAAGGGCCAAGAAGCAGTTGTTTCTCTTTGCCGTGAGGGCATCACGTGGATCTGCCAACTGCTTGCGGGAGGCTTTTTGCCTTCTTCCACAGCGCTGGGTATCGGCCAGCTGCTGGAAACAGGGCCGGGAATGACAACAGCAAGGGCATTGAGCTGGGCTGGACGGCAAACCCTGTATCGCCCCGATCTCCAACTCCTCCATGTTCCCTTCGGCTAAGGCTGAGATTTGCTTGCAGATAAAAGCATAACAAGTTGCCGTAGCAAGCCTTTCCTCTCCGAAACAGCTCATTCAGGGACTGTTACCATCCACCACATTCTGTTTAACTGGTTCTTAGAAGGCGGCGATTGGAGAATTATTAATGGAAAGTCAACCACTAATTGCTATTGCAATTATTTATGATAAACAAGGAAAACAAGCTGGGAAGGGCAGTGCTGAGCCCGCCGGTGCTGCATGCCTGTGCAACAGCCACCTCTGCTCGGAGCGAGACTTCGAGCCAGCAGGGTCTGAGCACCACGATGCTTGACATCCGCTCCACAGCCCTTGCGCACCCAAGGCCTGAGCTTGGGGGATGATTATGGAAGCAGGAGGCGAGGGCGGAGGGGCAGGTTGTCGGACTAGGCTTGGTGTCTGAACAATGCACCGTTGGCTCGGTGTAGATGACGGCTGCGTTTGATGGAGGCAAAGTGATAAGGTCAAGTGCGGCGCTGGAGCCATCTGAAGGCTTCTCCCATTTTCAGCCTGCGCCTATAAGTCGAGGCCATTAACTTAAGGCCGCGTGGGTGTTTGTAGCAGGGCCGGGATGAGCCTTTTAAGACCAAGGGGACCCGTGCCTCTCCCGTCTGCAATGCAGGTGTAGCCCCCCGGACAGAGCCACTGGAGAGACCTGGCCCAGCACCTCACCTGTGTGGTCACAGCCCAGAAAGCTTGCTCTTCCCCCTTCCCTGAGCCAAGCAATGCAGATCTGCTTGACTGCCTTCCTGATCCTAAGCACACAAAGATAGCGGCTTATCACCATCACAGCAGAGCTCTTCAGCACGGGGGTGGCGAGTTACCAGGAGCAGCAGGGGTAGAAACACAAACCCCATCTGTTCCTCTCTCCTATAGAAGCTGGTGATCTTCAGCGCTCGGGGTGGTGTGATCCAAGCTGCCCTTCTCATTCCCTCAAAGCCAAGCCTGGGGACCTGGGGAAAGCTGCCTGCCTTATTGGATTTTCCCCATGGAGAACAGATCACCTGGCAGTCTTCCTAGAAACTGCCTCCCAAGCCGATACTGAACGGGGAGGGAGAAGGCGAAGATTTCAAGGACAGGAGAGCAGATTGCTGGGAGCTCAAAAATTAGCTTTGCTTTGCAGTATGACAAAGACCTATGGGCTAATTAACTGTTGTTAATGAACTAGTAAGGTGTATAGTAAACAGCGCATTCTTTGCACAAAAGCAAAGCCTTCTGTGCAGTTTAGGGGAGGGGGGAAGTGGGGATTCTTGCTTTTCCAACCCAGAAGATACGTGGCTTGGCTTTGGTGGTAGAGCTGCGCCATAAGGTAACATTTTGTGGTACCTTCACCTCTACGTTTGTGATTCCAGGAGTCCAGCTTTGCTAAGAAGAGACATGTCACCTTCTCAGTGCAGAAGAGTGGAGTCATTCATTAGCAAATGCATTTCTACGAAGAAGTGTCTTTGGGCCGCAAGCCTGCCCGTCTTTCGGGAAGGACTCGGGGAGCATGTTCAAAGGGCCAGAGTCAACTTAAAACTCACAGTGACTCCTGGAAATGTTGCACCTGGAATAATTAAGTGTAATGACTGAGATTGCTATAAATGAAAGCTGTTCCGAAGGAGATGCAGGGACTAAAACAGACTAAGGGGACCACGTGTGTTTGAGGTTGCTGTGTGCACAAGTCCCTCCATGAGTCAAGGCCGAGTGTTGCACTGGTTATTACTAACGCAGGTCGGACACTCACACAAGCAGATTTCTTAAACGAGAACTTTTTTTGGCCTCTTCTCCTGATGGTTGATCAGACATCACCTTGCACATCCCAAGTGGCTGAGAGCTCTGGAGAGTGTCATACGAAGGATCAGCACGTGACGATGAGCAAATTGCTATCGGCACTACTGTCCTATCCCCACAAGGCTGACTGACCTCCCAAAGCCCTGCCCTGAAAGGCACCGAGTCAGTGCCAGACATACAGGCGAAGTCCCTTTTTGGGTTATCCAAAGGCCTGCACGAGAGAGGAGAGATTCCCCTAGACATGAAGCACCTCTCCTGCTATTCTGCAATGTGCCCTTTATTTAAAGGGTGGCCGTATCAAACGAGTGCTAGAGCAAGGCTCTTACATGCAGAACGGCAGCGCCTAATTGAACGCCGGGCTTCCGAACAAAAGAGCAACTGAGGAATGGGACTTGTTCTCTTTGTTAGCACACGATGCCAACTAAGCGTGGCATGTGCTCCTTCACAGCAGAGCGGAGTCTCACTGGGTTGTGCCGGCTGCCTGAGCTGCTTCTTAATTATCCCGCTCCCTCTGTCTGCATCCCCAGGTTGCCCACTATCCTTCTGCAGAGCTGAGGCTATCACATTCCTCCCACCGGTGAAGCATTTGCTGACAACAGTGGCACCGAGTGATGGAAATGAAGTTGTTTCCAAAGCGCGTCTAAGGTCCTGACTGCAGTTCCCGGGATTGGGATCTGGCTGTCCAAGGGGAGAGCAGCTGGAGCTGCAGATGGGCTGTGTTAGGGGCTTTACCTTTCATTGCCAGGGCATTTCACACACTTGCTATGTTCGCTTCGCCCAGGCAGAGCTGCACGTGAAGTCCCCCCGAAGTCCTGGCACAGCCCGGCCCAAGCGTCTTGGGGATCAGCAGGGTGCTCTGCATACGGGTGTGTGGGTGCAGAGCTCCCAAGGTAACGGTCCGGTTTGCAAGCACACCCCCTTCTCCTCCGTCTCCTCCGGGCTCGGACACATACTGCATTATGAGGGTGCCCTCTTGAGGCCAGCGGCGCATCGCAAACCCACGGCGAGGGCTCAGCCTCCTGCCTGGCTAAGACGAGGGTTGGATCCTTTATGGCTGGCTAGTTTGCAAGTGCCCTTGCTCTGTGCCTGGCACTCCAGCCCCAGCCACGCAGAGGGGCAGCCGGCCCTGGCCTGTTTTAGATGGGGCCTGCACAGGGCCCGGAGAAGGCAGAGAGCTGTGCTGAGCTATGCTGCCTTGCAGAAGCCAACCGGGGTCCTGGGATTTGAACAACAGCCGTTTCCTTTCTGCATGGAGGCCGGTGTGATTCTGGATGGACTCGTGCTATTCTTGCCTTTAGTTCTCATCCTACTTTGCTAGGGGCCTGCTCTCAGCCCTGCCTTCAGGTGTAGCTCGCAGGTTATGGCAGCCTTGGCCCTTCCCTACAATGCAGTGAGGATCCTCTGCCCTCACTGGGATCTGGCGACCCGCAGGGCAGAGCATCTGCATCCAGCCCCCCACCCCAGTCTCACGGGGCTCGTCCCAGGGGAGGAAAGGATGAAAGGCTGCGCCCATGCGATCCGTGTTGGTCCCTCTCCAAGGGATGGGTCCCTGTTTCGACCCAGCCACTTGCTCACCTCCACGCAGCCCGTTCCCCAGTGTTTCCGCTTGCCCTCCTAGCAATTCACCCTGTGCCCAGTCTTGCAGGGCCTGACTCTTAGGTGAGAGCTAGGCTCTTAAAGCCTGCACCAAACCCGCCGAGGTTGCCGAAGCCTTTACCCTCAGGAAGGACCTCAATGGGCGCTTGTACGCATGACGGCAACGAGAGCGGTCCCAGCGGAGGACAAGCCACGCTGCCCTCGAGCACACGCCTCATCCAAAGCCAGGCCTCTTCCAGCACAGTCATTTCTTTGCTGGCTGGAAACAAGCCCGATGCCCCCTCGGCACTGAACATTTGCACTCCCTGTGGAGCTCACTCGCTCGCTCACTCGGTGATTCACCGTGCCCCCACCTCCCTTCAACGTGCCCCAAGCATTTCCCCGGGGCACCCCAGCTGTGACTCCTGACTCCAAGTTTACCCTGGCTGCTTCCCCGCTCTTCTCGGACCCCGCGGTCTGGTGCT